TTGTCAATGCGATAGGAATTGTCCACATCGGAACCATAATCGGGAAATTAAAGGGTACTATACAAGCCACAATCCCTAATGGATCACGCACATCTTGGCATGTGATGCCTCTCGACACTTGCAGCGTACGTCCCTGTACTAACTGCGGTAAACTACATGCATATTCAACCGTCTCATTACCCTTCAAGACACTGGCAAGTGCTTCTGTCCGATTCTTGCCATTCTCCTTCACCACAATATCCGCTAGCTCATCTGTATGCGCATCATGAGTTTTTCTAGTAATACTTTCCTATCTTAAATTCTTACCTTGACATTGTATCATCAAAGCATGAAATTTCAACATAATGGCTGCACGAGCCTTGATAGTCAGTAAACGCCATGTTTTCATCGCTTCTTCACCCTTGGCTACCGCTAGTTTGACATCTTCAGCCGAAGATAGTGCACACTTGCCAATGATCTCGCCAGTTGAAGGATTCGTGACATCGAGAAATGTATCGTTACTTGGTCGGACAAACTCGCCGTCAATCCAGTTGTATGCAATTGGCACATCAGACACTTTTTGTCGCTTGCTTGGAGACTCGGGCATTTTGTGTTTTTTTTCGAAAGTGATGCGACCCAAATTCAACGTGATCTTTCATGTAGTGCACATAGAATTGAGTCCTCTTAAAATTTGATGTACTTTTATAATTTATGTGAGATACAAAACCAAAAGATAGCTAACTTGTCATTAAACAGCATCGTTCTATGATCGCATTCGTGTATGAGATTTGTCAGAGTTGGGCTATGTGAAAACGTAATGATACTGGGTTTCAGGATTGGGAAACAGTTTGGATCAGGCCTAGGATAACTGTTTGGATGATGCCGCTCTATATTGCTGAAGAGCAATACTGCAATTATATGCCGATTTTACACACATAAGTTTGCTCAAACAGAAAGCGAACATGGATAAGTACAGTTTTGAAGATGCGGTAGCACAAGTTTCATCACCGAGTGTTCAAATCCCTCGAAGGAAGAATTGGAATACACAGCATTTAAAATCACTGTTGGGTGCCTAGCGAGTACTTACATCCCCTCGCCCATTATTAATGGTTGAGAGACCATATTGTACATCATTACGGCAGGGATATCTTATGACAGCGTCACGACGCGGATGACATAGTATTGAAATATGGA